TATGTGTCTGGCTGGGTTGCGAAAACATTAAGAAATTTGAAGTGTGAATATTGTAAAACCCAAATTTTAAACAATTTTTCGGAAGACGAACAATGTTACAAATTAATACGTATAAGAGAATATAATTGTAATAACAGAAAATTGCAATATTGTAAGTTAGATTTTATAAAAAACATTAACAGAATTTATAATATTTCAAGAATCGTTTTAAACAATTGTACATCTTTCGACAACATCAAAAACAAAATTTCGTTTATAGTATCTCATCATGTCAAATTTTCGTTTCATTGTGAACATAAGGAATTAATTGAAAGTGAAATATGTAATAAAATTATATATTTAACAATTTTTACGTTTGTAAAAGGTTTGAATTTAATTTTAAGCGGTCGCGATACAAGAGTTTCCACACATAAAAATGCATTATATCAAAATGCTTGTATAATGTACCAAAAAAAATTAAAATCAAAAAATCGTAAACTCAAATCCATAAGGTTGTAACCACTCCCTAGTGTAAATTTTTAAAAATTATTCAGTGTAAATCTGTCTTTTAATAACCTGGTGACATATTTGGTGACCTGTCAATATAATGTCAGTTCATTCATGTATTCGCGACACATGATTACGTTCGACTTCACTGCAATTCTTGCACTCCTGCACAGGTTATTTCATAATTATCATTGTAACTTGTCGCAATATTGTAAAAACTGATAAACAATTTTCAATAAAAACAGGATAACCTGAGTCTTCATGGTAATTATAATACAAGAGCAACGATAAATAGAAACGTGTTTTATCTTTCATCTGTAGAAAGAATGCCACCTGCTGTAATTTAGACTTGCAGTCGATACGTTTACGAATTACGATAAAATGAACCCAAAAATATTGTGGTCACGAATGAAATCAAATATTGGGCTGGTAAAAAAACAAGGTGAATTGATTTATTTATTGTTGCTGCTTCATAAAAATTACTTTACAGATGGGGAATAACTGAGATATTCAGAATTTGTTTAAATTATTGTACATGAGTATACGTGATAATTATATGTGTGGCTAACTATGACTCGAAGGATCAGCTCTCTCGACTGAAATGATCAATCTCGCGAGCAACACCAAAATTGTCTATAATGGGTAGATCACCTTAATTAGTTGCAATGGATGACCAATTTTTCATCAAAAAAATGGGACACCAACAAGTCTTTAATGTTATGTTTAATAACTCTAATATTTGGTACTACTTATTATTTACAAAATGTACAAGGGATTTGGTTGAAGGCGATAGGTCTGGCTATGCTCCTCCGTCCTGACGATTTTAGTGGTAATAATGAACAAAATGTAACTTCACAAAATTCAGAGGCTAAAATAATAGGTATGTTGAAAATAATTTGACGGCTTATTTAAACTTACTGTTACAGGAGTGGTTAGAAACATTGGGAACACATAGACCAAATAACCAAAAAGCAATTATTTTTCTGTTGTTAACTTTCTTAAATCTGAATCCCATGGATTTTAATACTCAACGTAAAGTATTTAAACTTGCTGTATATTCTGGATGTTCTTTCGCAAAAATAAACAAATCCTGAAGAGTAAAAAACTCATTTTTTTTGTTTTTGTCAAATATACGGTAGGTTAGATCTTCTTTAAGTTCCAAATTTGAATACCACTGCGATTTTTGTTTTGGTTTCCACTTTGCTTCTTGTAACGGTTCTCCAGATTGGTGTTGGGTTATAATTTTGTGGGCTTGACATCGAGAACACTATGGAAAGGATAGGAATTAATGATAAGTTTACAGGGAAAGTATGCAGTGCTTGAATTTAATGAGGGACATTTAGTTGTATTGTGTAGGATATAAAGAGTGGGTATAAAACTTGAAAAGACAATGTTGTACTAAAAAGCGAGATATACACTTTCAACTTGAGATAGTTAAAACTAAAAGTCCTTCGACATACCACCATGTTGTAATAACATGAAAAAAGTTCCGAATGTCGATACGTTACTCTCATAGTATAGTACTCTCTTTCCATGGTATAAGAATAACTACATACTGAAAAGATTTTTACAAGCTTGAATTCAAGTTCTCGGGAGGATGCTTGGGGATAAGCAAGTTTCAATTCATTGTGGCAGTTGGCAAGTGCCATTTTCATCTGCTTATTTACCACAATATGCCGTGTCGGTACCATTTTTCAATGGTATGGTTTAATAACAAACTGTGAGATATTTAAATAAAACTCTCTCGTGCGTAATTGTCAAATTTTGACATATGCGCCGCTACCAATCTGTTCATGTGAAAAACACCATTGGCTGTAATGCCAACCTTACAATTTAACGAGTGGTTACAACCTTATGGATTTAACTGTAGACAATACTAATAAATTGTATATTATTCTACTCTGTGTTTTTGATATTATTAGTGATAATAAAAATAAAATATTAATTATAAAATATGCAGCAATGACGCATCTAGTAGTTCATGCTTTAGCACCGGCCACAAGGCACCAGGGGGCGTTTATTGGGACCAAAAATCAAGTGGGAGTTTGCATTCTATTTACGTAGTATTATTTATCTATGTACCTCTTGGACAGGCCATAATCTTTATACTAGTCGGCCATGGTTTTTACGTAGCTGCATGGTAGGTGCCTACTATACCTATTATCAATAAAAATACACAAATAATTTATTTTATTTATATTTTTTAAGAAATATCCTTTAATTTAAAACAACCTTTAATAAAATCGACAAACGATAACTAAATTACAGTTCTATTGAATGAAAAAGCGTACAGGATATTTAGGGTATGGTAAACGTTCTTGTCAATGACAATTAACTGAGGCATGACTGAGACGATTTGTCAAAAAAATCTGTCTTAATATTAATTAATCGATGTCATCATCATAATCAGTTACAGTTTGCAAGTATGCTTCAGCATTTGATTCTCCTCAGAAATGTTCACACTGAAAGATGGTTGGTTTATTTCAGTTGTTCCAGTAATTACAATTTAAACAAAAGTGTAGTTTTAAGAATTAATAAACGCTGAGAACAGGTCCAGTCGGTTTTACAAAAAGTTGGTTCAGGCGGAGCTAAAAGAAGATGCTGCTCCTTTAAATCATTTATAAACACACCATTTTGATTCTGCAAGGTAACTACAACGTATTTAGACCACAAACTGTTGATATTATCTGAGCGAATTAAAACTTGTTGGGAAGAAATCGATGAAAACGATATTGTAAATTTAATGCACTCAATACTAAATAGTCTAGCTCAGTGGTTCCCAAAGTGGGCGGTACCGCCCCCTGAGGGGCGCTGGACGGATTCAGGAGGGCGGTTAAGACTCCCGTGGGAAATTGGGGGGCGTTCAGTCGATCTAAGGGGGCGGCAGAAGAAAATGTAAATGTAAAAGCGAAACAGACTGTTTTCGAAATATTTCGCTCTCATAAAATGATCAAACAAACTCTACCGCTTGTAGATTCCAAATTTATGACAATAAAATAAAAACAAAAGCTATCATTTCTGCTTTTGTAGCAAAACTTCTTCTCTACAAGGGAAATTTGGGACGAGGGGAATTCAATCAATTTCCTATTTTATCAGCAGTAGAAAAGTGTGACGAAGATCTGCTTACTTACTGCAAACAGTTGGAAGCTCTCCACTGAGACTTCAACCAACGATTTGAGGATATCTTAAGATGAACATTCCCAGCTGGGTTTTAGACCCTTTTTCATATGCAGACACAGAAATGGATGTCAAATTACAAGATAGAAGTAACTACAAATGAAGAATTAAAAGTTAAATTTAGAATCGGTTACCAACAGTTTTGCCTGCAAAGACAAATTCCTGCACTTTATCCAGAATTATGGGTTATGGTGCAAAAATTTTTAACTGCATTTCCTTCGTCATATTTAGTAGAACGCAGATTTAGTGCAAAACAAATTTGTTGACAAATTAAAAAAGAATCGATTGCAAATGACTAATATTTACAATTTACGAATACTGCTAGCAAAAATTGAGCCTAATATTGATTAATTGGTAAGAGCGCATCAAATACATTAGCATTAGGGTTATGTATCTATTTTTAAATTCTTCTTTGTAATTTGTAATAAATATTTTGTCGGATTTTCACTATATTTTATTGACATTAGCATTTTTCCTTGCTGTACGTTAAAAGTGTGAAGGAGTCGGGGGGCGTCAAGAAATTTTATTTCTGAATAGGGGGCGTAAGTTTGGAGATCACTGGTCTAGCTCAAGTCATTGCCCAAAACGGAGCTAGAACCAAATACTAGTTTTAAATTATTGTCAGCACTAGCTATGTTATTTGAAGTCACAATTTTCTCCAACCGTACGTGTAATAATAAAGTTTTATTTGGTCTTAGTTCTTGGAATAACAACAATGTTACATGTAATTATGAGTTTCTTTCATATCTTTAAACAAATTTTGCTTATCGTTATTAGCTCAAAATTATGTAGACAATCAACACTACTATTTTAGACCAATTCACTATAGCAAAAATTATTAGAAAACGAACATAAGAGTTGCACGCTTTTTCACTGAATACGACTGTGCATCCAGTAAAAATTTCAACTCTGAATATTTACTCAAACATAAGCACAACATAAGTTAACATGGGATATAAAATGTAACATGGAACTCCCTTATGGCCACTTTTAAAAAAGATGCACTATATATACAGGCTGTTCCAGAAATAAGTACCTTAATTTTAATCAGTTATAGAGCTCATCAAAATCAACAAATTTTTTTAATAGGGGAAACTTTTTAGTTATCAAGTTAAAAATTGTTAAAGTTTTAACCCAATTAAGGTTACCCGCCCATGGATCCTCAGTCCCCCATGGAGACTAATAATTATTATTATTGTAATTAATAATTTATGATCAAAACAACTATTATTATATAGTGCATCTTTTTAACGTTTGTTTTCCATCTACTGCCTTTGCCATGTGTTTTTACACATACCTAATCGTGTGTTGTATCATTTATCCATTGCTTTCTCTAGTTTTCAGCAGACTTACTCCCAGACAACACAGTTTTGTTAAACAACATCGTTATGACGCTGGAAACTATTCCAAAAGATTTAAGAGGGTTAAGGGCATGCTTGGTGTGTTCATTAATAAAAGTATGTACATACAGGATCTACTTAACAATTTACACTTTGCTATAATTTTTAGTCATTTGATCAGTTCGAGTATGAAGGATGTGATAATTGCGATTTTTTGCGAATGAAAGGAAATCGTGATAACGTCTATGATTGCACCAGTTCAAATTTTGATGGGTATGTTTATTTACATATACATATAAAGTGGACAGTGGTACAAGATATATTTCTTTCAGTATGATCGCAGCAATGAGTCCTGACGACAGCTGGGTTTGTAAATGGCAGAGGATTAGTAAGTACCTAATTATAAATTATGATTGTATTAACATTGTTAAAATTCAAAAAACAACATAGGATTATTATTATTACTCTAATTACTGGTATGAGAATGTATTGCAACTTCATCATGTGAAATTTTTACTTAATCAGAGTTCTGAAATATCTTACAGCAACAGTAGAAATTAATAATAATAATAATAATAATATACAATGAAAATTATTTCCAATAAGAAACCCCAATTACAGGAAATATAAAACAGAAAAATTAAATTTTAAAGTGGTTGGTTAATCTACATAAATATTGCAACTAAAACTAGTATACTTATTACTTGAACAAATTATAACATATTCCCAATCCTAAATACCAAAATTAATATGTAGCAGCGCCGTCTGGTCAGGGGCGGCAGGGTCGGCCACGCCGTACCAGTCATTTTAAAATACTTTAGTAAGCGTTAAAATTAGAAAATAAAAAAAAGTTTGAAAAAAAAAATTTCATTAAATTATCTAAAATTTTATTGTTCGTATTAGGGATGTACCGACTAGTAGCCGACCGGTCGGATAAGCCGACTATTCGGCCGTTTTTCATCGTCGGCTGGCAGTCGGCGACTGGTCGGTTAAACAGCCGGTCGGTCGGCTTTTTTTTATTAAAATTGAAATAGTATATAAAACAATAAATTGTGTTATTATTTATTTTTGTACCGAGTTACTACAAAAAAAATAAATGTTAGAATTATCCAAACAACTTTAACACATTTTTTGGAAAACAAAGGAATTAGTTATTCCTTTTATTAAAATAAAACAAATTTTTAAGGTAGTCAGAGAAATAGAAAAAAAAAACACTGTCTGTGGCATTTATAAACCGGTTTTAGCAAAGCCGAACAGTCGGCCGACTAGTCGATTTTTACTGGCCGAACAATCGGCTAGTCGGTTAGTCGGCCAGACCTACAGTCGGTACATCTCTAGTTCGTACATAACTTTGCTACAACATAAATGCGTTTTTTTCTATATTTTTAGCATCTAAGCGTTTTCAGATATGTAAATGAATTTAATGTTTTAAATCATTTTAATTTCAATTCAATAATTATTCAATTAATTTATTTGACAATTTGCCATATACACATATATATTTACCGGTCGCCGCGGAACCCAGTAAAAATAATTTTTTCGGTGGTTCTTAATTAATGATAAGGCAGAACAAGTAGAATTAAGGGTTAATAGTATTTGGAATCAAACTGACATTGTCAATTTCCTATAAAACAATTATTTTAACAAGTCGGGGTCTAAACATTTCGAGATGTTTTTGTACATCTTGACACGTAAAATGTCAGTGGTTAACGAGTAGCGGCCATAAATTACGAAAATATATAACACAAAGGTGTAGACTCAAAATATTTGGCCGACCCGAAATTTTGACCCACCAGCCGCCACTGATATGTAGTAACACAGTTACAAACGTGCTGACATGAATCAGAATGAGTATCACAACAAAAAGAATTAAGAGTACATTAAATAAATTACACATATTAGAAACACCTGACTTTCGCAAAATATTGGTTCTACTAGTATCGCAATAAAATGTTAACTACTGACGTGAATTAATTCTTGGCACAAAAAATAAGTTTTTGAAAAAGTTATGGGCAGTCAATTTGACCCTTCACTAAATTAACCAAAAATTTGATTGTTAAGATCACGCGCCGTGTCTTTAAAGAATTAAAGTTGAATTTAGAAAGTAGCAATGACTGGTCGTAACCTCTCTGCGAATAATTGTGCTTTTGAAGATGATATACAACTTTTAAAAATCGTCTTTGCACAGACTCAATCTAGTTTATGTGTACCTTTATCAATGGGGTACCAAATCAGAGTGCCATACTCGAGACGGGATTTCACTAAAGTGAACAAGAGTTTAAATAGAGCATCCATATTAGTAAAGTCTCTACAATTTCTATACATGAAGCCGTTTTAAACGATGTGGTCATAATGTCACCAATGTGATCAGCAAAAGTTAACTTTTGATCGAAGGTAATGCCAAGGTCTTTTATGCGCGAGGAGCGATTTAAAGGAGTATCTTAAATTTTGTATGAATAAAATACGTAGTTTTGTTTTCGGGTGAAGGTCATAATGTAACATTTTGAATAATTGAAGAAAATACGGTTCTGAATACACTAGTTGATTATGCGATTAACATCGGCTTGAAGGATCTCGCAGTCTCATTTTGAAATGATTTTTCTATAAAGCTTCTGATCATCCGCAAATAACAATTTTTCTGATGATATTACATGAACTATATCATTTTTAAAATTAAAAAAAAAAAATAGATAGCTAAGTTAGAGCCCTGTAGGATATCGGATGTTGGGATAAATGGAGAAGAATAGTGATGCGACATATTTAGCATAGAATGTTTATTTTATTGCTTGCTTATAAGTGTATAGAAACGTTAGTGTCAGAAAAATGCCTATGCATTCTTACGATAATAACGAGAAAACCGACATGATCCTTATTTACGGAGAATATCGCCAAATGCTAGACGTGCAGCACAAGCTTTGTGGTTGGTTTGTGGGTCGAAGTGCATGCTCCAGGTGCAGATGGTTAGAGCGGTTAGGATGAAATTTATTTATTGGTCTAGCAATAGCAATTTGTCCCATAATTCCCATATGAGGATTCTCATTAACTTGTGCAAGAAGTTATACTTCATTTTCCAAGCTAGTCACAGTCTGGTTCCGTTTCCTCTTGTTAGTAGGCCACTTTCTTACGCAAGGAATTTTCTAGCCTCTTGAAAATTTTGGGTGTTGGGGCCACACGGTCAGAGTATCTTCGGGCAAACATTACAATTGTGCTGTACGCCTAACCTTTTTATGTCATTCTCCATAACGTGTCCATAACTAAGGATCATGTCGGTTTTCTCGTTATTGAATGCATAGGCGTTTTTCTGACACTAACGTTGACTGACGTTTCTATACATTTAGCAAACTTTGATACAATCTAATTTTGAAACATTTTATTCTGCATCTTATTCTATTTTTACTTCCCGAGCGTAAGCAAAGGAAGTATTGTAATCGAGTCCGTCTAAAGTCACTAGATCTACTATTACTTTTAGAAAGTACGGCAAACTGCCTGTGGTCGGAATTCGACAGAGAGGAATCTAACCTATGTGTTAAACAAAGATAGCGCGAGGCTAGTAATTTTCGCTATCTGTCAACGAAAGTTTGATGTGTTTACGATTTGAGGTTACGACAGACTGTACTAGAATTATTGAGTTAACGGACCGGAAAGAACATTATTCCAGTCACAAAGTAACTCCAGCCCTATTCAACGAGAAAGTGTCACCGGTAACCAGCAAACAGTCGTGGAAGACGTGTTACCACCAAGGCAATTGACGGCCAAATGACAGTAACAGGATCGCCATACTGGAAGCAAAAAATACCTGCTGTCGAAAAGACGGAGCATAACAAGGACACAGATATATTTCTATTTCATAAAAGTTACTAATTGCCACACATTTCAAGATCGAGTCACATTAAGTCCGTCGGCCGACTCTCTACTTTTACGTTTTCTCGATTTTTCATGACCCCTAGAAGACGAAGAAATAGGTCTCCCATTTCCGTCTGTCTGTCCGTCTGTCCGTCCGTCTGTCCGTCTGTTGTCCCGGATTTTTATTAGACAGATAATCTCCGAAAGTACTCGACCGATTGTTGTGAAATTTTGTACTTATATTAAGAATATCATGTAGATGGTAAAACGCTAACCAAAATTTGTCTAATCATCCCCACCACTAATGCGATGACGTCACTTCAAAATTGTACATAGTAAATGGGTTTTCAATTGTATAAAATAACATAGTCCTACACATGTAGTTTACAACTCTGAATCGACTTTTGACCCGAAACGTCCAGATTTTTGGAAAAAAAATCAAAATTATAAAACAACATTTTGAAATTTAATTTTTAATCTGCTAACCAGAATGCTTTGAAATGTTGCAGATGTTTTAAGGCTATAAAGAGCATCATAAATCTTTAGTCAAAAAATATGTATTTGCTTATCCCCTCCAAAAACTTGATGACGTCAGCTCAAAAGTTTGTGGAATAAATCATATCTAAAATGTACAAAATATGATGAGTCTGTACTTGTGATCTATCACTCCATTCATATTTTTTGGATTTGCATATACAGGTGACTCAAAAAAATTTATGAATGCGTAAATATATTTTATTGATTTAATCAGGAACTACAAAACCGAATGCTCTGAACTCTTGCAGATGTTTTAAGATCATAAAGAGCATAATAAATGTTTAGTCAAAATATATTTGCTTATCCCCTCCAAAAACTTGATGACGTCAGCTCGAAAGTTTGCCGAATAAATCATATCTAAAATGTACAAAATATGATGAGCCTGTACTTGTCATTTATCACTCCATTCATATTTTTTGGATTTGCATATACAGAGTGACTCAAAAAAATTAATGAATGCGTAAATATATTTTATTGATTTAATCAGGAACTACAAAACGGAATGCTCTGACATCTTGCAGATGTTTTAAGGTTATAAAGAGCATAATAAATGTTTAGTCAAAATATATTTGCTTATCCCCTCCAAAAACTTTGATGACGTCAGCTCGAAAATTTGCCGAATAAATCATATCTAAAATGTACAAAATATGATCAGTCTGTACTTGTGATCTATCACTCCATTCATATTTTTTGGATTTGCATATACAGGGTGATTCAAGAAAATAAATGAAAGCGTAAATTTATTTTACTGATTTACTCAGGAACTACAAAACCGAATGCTTCGAAATCTTGAAGATATTTTAAAATTATCATAAGCATGGTAAATTTTTGATCAAAACGTATTTGGTCGTCCCCCCTAAAAAATTTATGATGTCACCACAAAATTTTGCTGAATAAATGCTATCTAAAATGTACAAAATATGGTGAGTCTCTTCTTGTGATTTATCATTCCATTCAAATTTTTTCGATTTGCATATACAGGGTGACTCAAAAAAATTAATGAATGCG